GAATATAATGTGTAATAACAGTATTTGAAAAAAAAGTTTATACTGTACTACTGCGGCGAACATAACTATGTAGTGTCCTCAGTTGCTTAGTAGTAAAGTAGAGAAGAGAGTCTAATATTTCGGTGTATTTTTGTGTTTCAGGAACGTTTCATTTGACGGAATTTTGCCGCTCATGACGGCCAAAAAGTTTGCCCAATCCGTCATATTTGTCGGACAAAAATCCATGCATGTAAACTTTAAAGATATGGGCAAAACTTCCATTTTCTAAGATTTATTTTTCTCACTTATCCATCCAGTATGGGCAGGCAAAACCTCACCGCTCAGGTCTCTCTTTATACCCTTCAAACTGGTGAAATAGACAAAATTTGACCAAATTAGGAAAATTTTGACCATTTCTTTGCTACTTATTCTTAGCCCCGAAGTCTCCAAAGTAGAAGAAGAAAATAAAAATTTTTAAAATCATCAACTGCGGACTACAATCTTCTTCAAATTTTGGGCCCTACAATGTACAAGGCAATAGTGCCGTCTGCATATAATTGTTTGCATCTAATTATAAAAAAAAATCTCTTAAGCTCCTAAACATACTTAAAATCACGACGATCTGTCAACTGGTTCTTGGGTTCTCCTTCATTCAATACGTTTCAACGAATACTCCCACAGTTTCAGAATAGGCTGCTGGAATACCCAAACTCACGTCATCTCTAAACGCTTGATTTTCAGCTATTTTGAAATAGCTCGCTTCCCAAATACACCGTAAGTCAGTAAGCGACGCTAATGCGGGACGCAGTGAGAGTCCCAGGGCACTTACTCCCGGTATGTGCAGAAAGAAAGGGTCGTGTGATCGCTGCTGTACGTTACTGTAGTATTCCAGGTAATCCGGGTCTATAATACTGATAATGACAGTCCTCTCGTCCGGAACAGGTGTCAATGTCGCACTTGGGAAGACGGCGTACCAAACAACCACTGAGCACCACACTCGGGCTGCCAGCCGTGCCGTGGACGGGAACACCGATACCAACTTCTTTTCTGGAACTTGTACACACACTGCAGACGCAGGAGAGACTGATCCAAGCTGGTGGGTGGATCTCGGTCAATCGTACATGATTGCCAGGTATGTGTTCAGAATACATAGTCGATCAATGGATATACATCAGGATTAATGGTTAACAAACAAGCAAACAAAAAAAAACAACAAACAAACGCGCAGACATAAAAACTTCTCAAAAACACAGACTAGAGTTATATAAGGATATACGAACATAACATAGAAGTTCTGAATATCTCGTGCAAGTCAGGTACTTAGTAACTTACCAAGAGTTACAGGACTTCGAATTATTCAAGGGGTGTAAGAGTCAAGTCCGCGTTACCGTGTCGGTTATTTTTGTCATTACTTAGAAATGTTGTGAATTCGTTGTAATGGTTTGTCTAAGAAATTCCATAATTTAGAAATATTTTGAATATCTTTTCAACATTCTAAAAAATTCCCTCGTTTTGTAAAACTTGTGAAATATTCCTGATGTGGAATATCACATTTCCGATAGTTTCTGAATATTTCTAACAACACTCTACCATTTTTTACCATTATTTTCAATTATTTCTAACATTTTGTAAATAGGTCAGTGGGATGGGAAGGAAGTAATTCACACATCCCTGTGAAGTACAGGGTAGACTGCCTAGGCCTCAGGTATTGATGCCTTACAACAAAAGAGCCACTAGTGTCCATGAGTGAAATCTAAAAATATACAGAAGAAGACCGAAGAGTCGGA